ACATTTAGGCTTCCATCTTTCATCTTCTTTCTCTGCACAGCCATAATAGCAAGGAAACTCCTTTTATAAAGGGGGTGCAGTCAGGAAGAAAGAACAACCCACATGTAACACGTACACTTCAGTGCCAAGAACAGAAGAAGTGTTGATGATCTTAGTGTTTAGATTTTGCTTCCTGAAGTCATTCCAGAGTCCAGCACTTAATAAGCCTCTTGCTATTGGACCAAGAGAGAAAAATGCAAGTTTAACCCAATGAACTGTGTTTGCTGAAGATGGTGACTTCTCTCTCTCTCTCTCTCTCTCTCTCTCTCTCTCTTTTTCTCTCTCTCTCTCAACAGAATTTATTTTCCACTAAAGCAAATATATTTTGTTTCTTTTGTTTGTTTGAGGGTCACATCCAGCATTGATCAAGAGCTACACCCCACTCTGCTCAGGAGTCACTCTCAGCAGTACTTCAGGAGCAGGTGCTACAGGATTTGAACCCAGGCCTCTGCTTGCAAGGTGTACTCATTCATTGGGCTAACTTCCCAGCCCTAAAATATATAGCACTGTCCTCCCGTTGTTCATGGATTTGCTCGAGTGGGCACCAGTAACGTCTCCATTGTGAGGCTTGTTGTTACTGGTTTTGGCATATAGAATACGCCACGGGTAGCTTGCCAGGCTCTGCCCTGCGGGCGGGATACTCTCGGTAGCTTGCAGGGCTCTCCCAGAGGGATGGAAGAATCGAAGCCAGGTTGGCCACGTGCAAGGCAAATGCCCTATCCGCTGTGCTATCGCTCCAGCCCAAAAATAAGGAAAGGAAAACTTCAAGCCCAATCAGTTATGACTTAGTTTGGTTCCTTTAGGAGACCGAGGGTTTTTTGTTGGTTTGGTTTGGTTTTTTGAAGGGGGTTGTGGTTGGTGCACCCAGCAGTGCTCAGGGTTTATCCCTGGCTCTGTGCTCAGGGATTGCTCCTGGTAGGGACAGGGAATCATCTAGGGTGCTGGGGATCATGGTCAGTTGCATGCAAGACAATCACCCCACCTGCTGTTCTATCTCTCTGGGGCTGAAAAAGATTTTAAAGATCACAGGACAGGTACAGGTGACTGAGGAGTGCTGGGGTCTTTGAGAACCGGTTTCCTCAGAATCTTGATTAACCCTGAAATGCCACCTGGATTAAACTTTTGGAAACATTTTTGAGGTGATTCAAGGTAGTGACACAGATGTAAAGATCTTAGAGACTGAACAGAAAGTTTTTCTCTAGAGAGAGGGACATTTTGCTGTGTTTCTTTACCAATAAATTAAACTTGCACTGCTGACAACAAAAGAACTGATCAAAATTCCTATTCTCAAGCAAGTTAGGTAAAGGTAAAGGTAAAGGCCCTCCCGTTAATCGTCGATTTGCTCGAGCGGGCCCAGTAACGTCTCCATTGGAGACTTTGTTGTTACTGTGTCTGGCATATCGAATACTCTCGGTAGCTTGCCGGGCTCTCCGAGAGGGGCGGAGGAATCGAACTCGGGTCGGCCATGTTGGCCACTTGTAAGGCGAACGCCCTACCCGCTGTGCTATCACTCAAGCAAGTTGGTAAGCTAAAATATTACAGAAACAAAGTGACTTCATTTTTTTACATTGCAAAACAATTCAAGCTTTAGTTGTGAATCAATACTGTTTTATGTGTTTTTTTTCCCTATGTAACTTACTTTTTATTATTCTTTTATTTTTAGTGAAAGTCTTCCTTAGAGTTAAGGAATCTTTGTCTTCTTTGCTCACTCAAGTTTTGCACATATCTAACAAGTTCTGATGTGTGGAAAACTCCAGATATCTCATGAATTACTCTTTTATGGATGTCTTTTTAAAAAGCAATTCAACTTAAAGATTTACTAAAAATTAACCCGGTAACTTCTGTCAAACACCTTAAATGTGTTTGCTCCAACAAGACCTAGAGATGTAAAAAGAGTTTACTCTAAAGCTATTCAAAGAAGTTTATTGATTATAGAAGATCATGAAATAACTAGGTCTTATTTAAATACGGAGTGACCAATAGGTTTTTGTATATACTATGTAGACATTAAATTGATTTTAAAATTTAACAGGGTATACTATGTGGAAAGTCAGAATATAAAATTATATATACATCAGTACCAATCATTGAAAAATAAAGTGTGCTTTGGAAAAATTTAGCATCATCTTTGCTTAAAGGTAAACAGTTACTTGTCATTTATAGCACAATAAAATTGTAAGACTTTTATAGGCATAAAAGAAGAAATACATTTTCAAAAGAGCATCCCTGTTAGCACTTTTTCTAACACACTTTCGTTGCTACACCCGTCAACTGCCCTTGGTGCCATGTAATCCCATCAATGGCCAAGATCTAGAGACTATAAAACCAAGCTTCCGGAAGCTTGCGGCTGCATTCGTGGTTGCGCGACTTGTTATTGTCTAGTTCCTGCTCTCGAGAACCCTGTAGGCTACCAAGAGTATACTGCCCACACAGCAGAGTCTGGCAAGCTCCCCGTGGGGCATATTTAATATGCCAAAACCCAGTAACAATGATGGGTCTCATTCCCCTGACCCTGAAACAGCCACCAAAGTGGCACTTGCTAAAATCTCAGGACTAGGATGAATGGAGACATTACTGGTGCCTGCTCAATGAACAGTGGGATGACAGTGATACAGTGACAGTGATACAAAATGGAAAAAACCTAATAACTCTACAACTATAAATAAGACAAAATGCTTTAAAATAAAAGCTATAATAATCATTAAAATGCTAGTAGGTATTGCAAATGATTCCCTTAATAATGTATTGTTGAGAATTGGGCGTTATGAGTGCCCAAGAACAGACAAATGGATAAAGAAACTATGCCACATCTACATAATGGAATACTATGCAGCTGTTAGAAAAAATGAATTCAAGAAATTTGCTATAAATGGATGACATGGAGAGTATCATGCTGAGAGAAATGAGTCATAAAGAGAGGGACAAATATAATGAATTCTGCATTCATTTGTGGTACACAATATATATATTTGTATACATATATATATGTATAGTAGAAGACTAATGTCCTTGGCCAAGAAAAACAGGGGCTAGGAGGACTGGTTAATGGTTGGAACTCATCACAAACATGTGAGGGGTTAGTTAGGTAATATAGAGAAGAGACAAGTATGACAATAGTACCAAGTAGCAGGGAATGATCATGGTGGACAAGATCTGAGGGTTAAAAGTAGGTAAAGGGATATTCTTGATAACCTTTCAGTAACAATATTGCAAACCACAATGCCCAGAAAAAGAGAGACAGAGACAGAGACACATAATGAGAGAGAGAGAGAGAGAGAGAGAGAGAGAGAGAGAGAGAGAGAGAGAAGAAAAGCGCCTGTCAAACAGGCAGGTAGGGGTGGGGTGGGGACGCCAGTGCTGGGAATGTACACTGGTGGAAGGATGGGTGTTGGAACACTGTATAACTGAAATCCAATCATGAACGGCTTTGTAAGGGTCTATCTAGCTCACAGTGATTCATTAAAAAAGTTTTAAAAAAATGAATTGGACGTTAGGGGGCGCCAAAGGAACTCAAAGCTCTGCAGTTACTTAATTTGGTGGCCACCAATACTTGATATTTGTAAAGTGCTTTGAAAACATAAACCGTAACTCTAAGATATTAAATTATAATACAGATGACATTAATAGTCTTTCAGTTAAAGAAAAGTTTAAGTCAAATGTATAAATTACTGGGCAGAGTGATAGCACAGTGGGTAGGGCATTTGCCTTGCATGCAGCTGACCTGGGTTCGATTCCTCCATCCCTCTCGGAGAGCCTGGCAAGCTATCAAGAGTATCCTGCCTGCATGGCAGAGCCTGGCAAGCTCCCCATGGCGTATTGGATATGCCAAAAACAGTAACAACAAGTCTCACAATGGAGATGCTACTGGTGCCCGCTCGAGCAAATCGATGAACAATGGGAGGACAACGCTACAATGCATAAATGGATATATTAACTAAAATATTAAATTCGTATATTCAATCAAATCTCTGAAGATATTTTCCTTATAGTTTATTTACTTGCGGAAGGGAGGAGGGCCCATATGGAAGGGCACGCCCAGCAATGCACAGGGCTTACTCCTGGCTCTGCTCTTAAGAATTATGTCTTGGCGGGGCTCAGGGAACCATAAGGGAAGCACCCGACCCGCTGTACTATGGCTCTGGCCCTAGTTTAGTTACGTCTTATTGAGAATATCAACCATGCCACGTGAAATGTTTTCAGGATCACTTTTCATACAATAGGTAATCAATAGTTTTATATGATTTGATTTGTGCCTCTTTGGAATATATTCTATCAGAAGGGTCTAAAACACTTGATGTAACTCTTAATACTGGTTTTCAAATAAGGTTTCAAATACCTTGCTATTGCCCAGGGTTTGTTTTGGGTTTTTGTTTCGTTTTGTTTGTTGGCTTTTGGGGGGGTGTTATATCTCGCAGTGCTCATGGATTCCTGAGTCTGCATTCAGGAATCACTTCAGGCAGTGCTTGGGTACCATATGGGATGTCAGGGATTGAACCTGATTAGGCTGTGTGTAAGTCAAATGCCCTACCCGTTGTGCTGTCGCTCCGACCCTCTTACCTAGGGTTTTTATAAGATATACTCCCGAGGCCCCACACCCTCAGGACCTCAAACTGTGAACTCAGAACCCACGAGAAGAGCTGGTGAACAAGAATACAGAACCAACACCCCAGGTGGTTTGCATTAGTTTCTATATCCAGGAATGTCTGAGAGCCATTACAAAAATTGTAGTTGGTCTTAACAAAACTAAAGCCAAGTGGCAATTCAAATGTTACCACCTGCTCTGGAATCATTTTTTCAGTTTTGCTAGAAGTTAAGGAGGAAAAAATGTGCATGTATAGTTATACAGGTGATAGATAGATATGTGTGTATATATGTTTCTCTGTGTGTGCGCATAAATCACTTAGAAGAAACATAGAAGTCGAAGGACAAGCCCAAGTGATTAAATACATAATCCCACTTACCTCTCTCAGGAGTTGTATGGGAAAAGGGAGAACTCCAGGCCTGCCAGTACTTTTTACCCATTTGTTGACATCTCACTTGAAACACATACTTCATGTTGGACTCCAAGAAGAATTCTGACTGTTGCACGAATGAAAAATTGGCGTCAAATTTTTTAACCTAAAGTGGAAAAATAAGTAATCTTAGTGAGAGGACCTGGCAGGCTTTGGAAAGAGATGATGGGGGCTAGGGAGATAGCGCTGCAGGCTGCGGCACATACGTGGAATATGAGCGCTTCAGAGTTTGAGCCCCAGTACTATGTGGTACCCTAACCCCATTGGGAGAGACCCTGGGAGCCCCATCACTGCCAACCCGGCCAAGGACTAAATCATGAGGCCCAAAAAGCAGATTGAAAATGGCTGGTAATAAGAAACACCACTGGGGAACTGCACTCCCACCCCCAAAAATGAACAGAGCAGTTATTCTAATCAGCAGAAATATCTGGATCATTATTAAGTTCTCGGAACCGTCTTTCTACACTCTAGGAAGTCAAAATGGAATGGGATTCTGTTCCAAGTACTGTTATTTAAAGAGGGGGGATACTCCTGGCAGTGCTCAAAAGTCACTCTTGCCTTGGTGCTTCAGGAATCCTTCTGGTGATGCTTTTACCCTCTGGTGTTGGGGGTCGGACCTGCGCCTTCTGCATGCAAAGTCTGTGCTCACCGTTTGAGCTATCTCCCAGGACCCAGGGCCTCATCTTAGTCCATAGAAAAACAGAGATCGATGGGCATCTTGGTTGAAAGCATGTCATCAGTCATCAGATGCAAATTGTTTAATTTCAAAAGCTAAATTCAAATCTGAAAGATGGGCCACTGAGTGCAAGGCTGAAGCAATAGTACAGCAGAAAGGGCATTTGCCTTGAACAGAGCTGAATAGGGTTCGATTCTTGGCATCCTGTATGATCCCCTGAACACTGCCCTCCCGTTGTTCATCAATTTGCTCGAGCGGGCCCAGTAACGTCTCCATTGTGAGACTTCTTGTTACTGTGTTTGGCATATTGAATACTCTTGGTAGCTTGCCAGGCTCTCCAAGAGGGGTAGAGGAATCGAACCCGGCTCGGCCGGGCTGGCTGCGCGCAAGGCAAATGCCCTACCGCTGTGCTATCGCTGGTCACTGTCAGGAGTAATTCCTGAGTGCAGAGCCAAGAGTAACCCTTCAGGGGGCTGGAGCAATAGCACGGTGGGTAGGGCGTTTGCCTTGTATGCTGCCGACCCGGATTCGATTCCCAGTATCCCATATGGTCCCCTGAGCACATCCAGGGGTAATTCCTGAGTGCATGAGCCAGGAGTAACCCCTGTGCATCGCCAGGTGTGATGCAAAAAAATAAAAAAGAATAACCCTTCAGCATCACTGGGTGTGATCCAAAAAGAGAGGGGTGGGGGCTGAGTGCATATACATGCTGTGCATGCAGAGAGAGACCCAGGTTTAATCCCTGGCACTACATGGTCCCCTGAGCAACCCCTAGCACAGAGCTGGGATTAGCCCCTGAGCACCACGCAATGTGGTCGTCCCAAAACCAAAACTAAAGAATTCAAAGTGAAACACACATTGCTTTGTGTCTAACATCTCTATCAAACTTCTAAATCTCAAAATAAGTTCCAAATCTACTCTAATCTTCAATTTGAGATAGCTGATTTTAGTGGAATAGGAAAAGGACAAGGACTAATAGTAATTATTTGACTTAGTCTTTCTTTCTCCTCCCAATCTTTTCTTCTCTCTCTGCAATTAGATTTTTATATCAATCATTGAATGACTGATGAAATAATTTCACTTGCTAATGATGACTTTTAGCAAAAATTACTCCAAAGCTGAGTAAGTCTGCCCCTTTCACATAGTTATGTGGATTATAAAAGACCATGTATATAATATGTATATTAATATGCCAGACACAGTAACACAGTTACTGGGCCCGCTTGAGCAAATCGACGATCAACGGGAGGGCCTTTACCTTTACCTTTTATTAATAAAGCAAATATTGAAGATGTTAAACTATGAAAATTCAGTGGCAGATAAGCACAAAATTGCTGAGATACAAACTTAAACAACATTTTTTTTGAGATACTACAACGTACTTTAAAAGATAGTAAAAAACAATCCCCCAATCAGAATATAAAGTAACAAAATAGGAAACTCACATCGTAGAATAGTTGAGATAAGTTACAGGAGGTTTACTCCATGACTTGAAGGCCAGCCGCACATGCTATGGGAAAGGGCAGCTCAGACAGAGAAGGGAACACCAAGTAAAGGGTGTTGGGAGAATTCTCCCAGGATGGGAGATGCATGCTGAAAGTAAACTATAGACCGAACGTGTTTGACACACAATGCCTCTTTTGCAAACCTTAACAACCAAAAGGAGAGAGAGAACAAAAAGGAATGCCCTGCCACAGAGGCGGGATGGGATGGGGGTGTGGGAGGGGTGAGAGGGTTACTGGGATGATTGGTAGTGGAGAATGGGCACTGGTAGAGGGATGGGTACTCGATCATTGTATGACTGAAACCCAAGTACAAAAACTTGTAAGGCCAACAACTGTACCACATGGTGTTTCACTGTCACTGTCACTGTCCTCCTGTTGTTCACAGATTTGCTCGAGCGGGCCCAGTAACGTCTCCATTGGAGACTTTGTTGTTACTGTGTTTGGCATATCGAATACATCACAGGTAGCTTGCCAGGCTCTACCGTGCAGGCGAGATACTCTCGGTAGCTTGCCGGGCTCTCCGAGAGGGGCGGAGGAATCGAACTCGGGTCGACCATGTTGGCTGCGTGCAAGGCAAAGGCCCTACCACTGTGCTATCGCTCCAGTCCATAGCTGAAAGCAAGCACAAAAATTTGTAAGTCTACAACTGTACCTCATGGTGTTTCACTAATAAAAGAATAATGAGGCCAGGTCAGAGAAGAAGGAACTTGACCCAGGTTGCTTAACTGGAAACCAGCAGAGCCAGGCTTCAAACCCTGAAGTGTGTGCTCTTGTCTCAGGCCTCGAGGCCAGCCACTTGCCACTCTGAAGTCAACGATCCTTCCCAGTTCTGGCACAGGGAGCAAAGCTCCGGAGAGGCCCCCAGGGACCCCCACCACGGGGTAGAACTCGATTTCCTGTCTTCCTCCACACCTGGAGGCGAAGAGAATACCCCAGATGGTATCATATGGGTAAAAAACACACAAAGCAAAGCTCTAGGACCTAGGACAGAAGGAAAGGCACTCACCTTGCTGGTGGCTGACCCTGGTTTCGTTCCCAAGTGGTCCCATGGTCCCCCCAAGTGCCCCCACCCCCAGGAGCGATTCCTAAGCAAAGAGCCAGGAGTAAACCCTGAGCAACACGGTGTGACCTAACCCTTTCCAAATTCAAATCAAAGCAGCTGTTTCACTCTAACACCTGCCTACGAAGGGACTGAGGTTGTCTACATAGAAACAGAAATTTTTTTTTTAATTTTTATTAGTGAAACACCATGAGGTACAGTTGTAGATATACAAATTTTTGTGCTTGGGTTTCAATTATACAATGATCAAGTACCCATCCCTCCACCAGTGCCCATTTTCCACCACCACCGATCTCAATATCCATGGTTTTTTTTTTTCCACTAAAAAACATTTTTTTTCCAGACTTACACATTTTTGTGCTTGGGTTTCAATTATACAATGATCAAACAACCCATCCCTCCACCAGTACGCATTTTCCACCACCACGGATCCCAGTATTCCTCCCACCCACCAGCCCCCATCCCACCCTGCCTCTGTGGCAGGGAATTTCCCTCTCTCTCCTTTTGGGTGCTGTGGTTTGCAAAAGAGGCATTGAGTGGCAATCATGTTTGGTCGATAGACTACTTTCAGCATGCTTCTCCCATCCTGGGAGGATCCTCCCAACACCCTTTGTTTGGTGTTCCCTTCTCTTTCTGAGCTCCCTTTTCCCCCCAGCATGTGTGGTTGGCCTCCAGGTCATTGAGTAAAATTCCTGGTACTAATCTCTGACATTCTTGGGTGTTAGTTTCCTATTTTGTTACTTTATGTTCCCCAGATGAATGCAATCTTTCTATGTCTATCCCTTTCTTTCTGAGTCATTTTGCTTAACATGATACTTTCCATGTAGTACCACTTGTATGTAAATTTCATGACTTCGTCTTTTCTAACAGCTACATAGTACTCCATTGTGTAAATGTACCAGAGTTTCTTTAACCAGTCATCTGTTCTCGGGCACTCAGGTTTTTTCCAGATTCTGGCTATTGTAAAGAGTGCTGCAATAAACAGACAATTGCAGATGTCACTGAGGCTATACTCTTTTGCCTCTCTGGGATATATTCCCAGAAGTGGTATTGCTGGGTCAAATGGGAGCTCAATTTCTAATTTTTTGAGAATCATCCATACTGAGAAACAGAAATTTCTGCTGGGTGTCAATGGTTATGCTTTAAGGAAGCACGGTAGAAGGGATTGAACGCAGGTTTTTGGGATGGAAAACTGTTCTTTCATATTCCGAAGGGGAGACGCTTACTAAGGGTGAGTTTGGATGACCTAGTAGAAGGCCAGAGGGACCTAAAGAGGTCCTGACACTTGCTCACCGCCCCCCCACCCTGAGGATGTCTATGAGGAAGAAGGAGAGAAGATATCTTCCTGCTTTCCTTTGAGGATCTTGCTTCTGCTACAGGAAAGGGTTGGAAAATCCAGCTCCAATTTCGTAGTATCATGGGTTGGGATTTAGCACCACCAGAGGGAGCAGAGAGTGTGGATTTCCATCAGAAAAGTGCAGTTTTCTGAAAAACCTACACAGAGACTCTCATCATATCATCCCTTTCTTTTTCAGCTGGTTTGCTGGTCTGCAGGTGTCAAAAGGTTGCAAACCATCATCCTAACCTTTTTATAGCTTATTTTCTCCTCCTTATGCCAATTGAGGGCTGGAGCGATAGCATAGTGGGTAGGGCATTTGCCTTGCACGCGGCCGGCCCAGGTTCAATTCCTCAGCCCCTCTCAGAGAGCTCAGCAAGCTACTGAGTATCCCGCCCGCACGGCAAAGCCTGGAAAGCTACCCATGATGGATTCGATATGCCAAAAATAGTAACAACAAGTCTCACAATGGAGAACATTACTGGGCCCATTCGAGCCAGTCGATGAACAACGAGAGGACAGTGCTACAGTGCTATGTTAATTGAGGAGATTCATATCGGCATGACCCAGCCCAGTGAATTCTGTTGTTTTGTTGTTTGGGTTTTTAAATGTTGGGGCTTGTGATGTAGGCAGGTAGATAGGGAAAGGCCCTTGGCAATGAAACAAAGTTTCATGGGAGAAGAATTCTAGGAATGACCCATCTTGTGGATACAGAAAACAAAGGCCTGATAAGAACATCTGCGGACCCTGAGGATATAGGCCTCCTCCCCATGAAATTTCTCTTTTTGGACCTCCCCTTTAATCTGATTAATTTTAGTGATTCAGCCCAAAGAAGACCATCACCACTCCCAACCTCCCTGGTAACCTCCTTAGCAACGGACTTTTACCTGGGAAGAAGCTTCACGTGGGGGCAGGCTGGAGAAACCATATAAAGGCCACCTTGAACAAAGGAAGGGTGCGCATATGCTGCCTGAGCCCATGTGCTGCTTGCGCCCATGTGGCCAAGCACATGTGGGCTGAGCACATGTGTCGCCTGCATCTCCCCTCTTGAGATGTGTACTTTCATGCTTTCGTGTCTAATGCTAGTATGTGTGTAGGGGCTCTCTCCGCCCTTGGAGAAGACCGTGTTCTCTCTTGAGTACGTTACTCTCTCACTCTCTCTCCCTCCACACCTAAAAATCCTCCAGATAAAATCTATTTACTTCACTGCTTGTCTACTCCTGAAATTCCTTTCTGCGAGGTGAGACAAGAACCCAGTAACCCTGGGTCCCGGGTGGTAGAAGCGGTTGGGGAGAAAGTAACCATCTTTCTCCTCCCTGCTTCACATAACTCACCCGTGGGGCCCACCGACATCACTTGAAACCCCCACAGACAGGGCTTAGGGGATTATGTGGTGCTTGGGACCCAATTCAAATTTGGGCCTTCCACCTGCAAAGACTTGCTCCGTTATGTTCCAGCATCCCTTCAGTCCTCACTGAATTGTTTATTTTTTCTACCCTATCCCTCACTGAATTCTTAAATATTCACAGATGCAGTCATTGTAATTTTACTCATCAACCATGTACCTATACGTCCCCTAAGATATTTGGTGACTGGTTTTTAGTTCATATTTAAGAAGCATTACTTTAAAAAAAAAAAAACCAACTCTTGTTCACCTGATACTCTATTAGTAACAAATCTTACTCTTTTTTTTTTTTTGAAGGTGGATGGGGTGTCACATCTGGTGGAGTTCAGGGCTATTCCTGGCTCTGTGATCAGGAGTGACCCCTGGTGGACTGGGAGTTGGTGGGTAGGAGGAAGAACCATAATTGGTGTAAGGGATGAAACGTAGGTGAGTGCATACAAAGCAAGTATCTTACCCACTGTCCAATCTCTCCATCATAATTCTCCTCATTTAAAACAATTGGGGGTCACACCTCCCCAGTGCTCAGTGGCTATTCCTGACCCTTTGCTCAGGAATGACCTGGCAATGCTCAGGGGGTCTTATGTTGTTATGTGGTACCTAGATTTGAACTAGAGTCATGAGGCAGTGAGGGTTACATGCAAGGCAAGTGCCTGACTTTCTGTGCTTTCTCTCTGGGCCCATCTTCGTATATTTTTCACATGCTGTCCCCATCCCAAGCTCTTCATCTCTCTTTTTTAACTGAATCACCATGAGAGACACAGTTACAAGGTTGTTCATGACTGGGCTTCAGTCACACAATGTTTCAGTACCCATTCTTTCACCAGTGTACATTTCCCACCACCTATTAACCAGTTTCATCAGTTTCCTACAACTACCACCGTCATCCCCATCCTCCTCCGCCCCCAGGCTGCCTCTACAGCAGCAGGCACCACCCCCCTCCATCTGGGGTATTACGGTTTGCAATATAGGTACTGACAGGTTATCATGTATAACCCTTTCACTCTTAGCACTCAGTTCTTGTCCCGAGTGATCATTTCCAATTATCATCTTCAACACTTTTTAAAATCTTCTCACCCTATTACATTTCAGCATAAACTCCTTAAATTTTAGATCCATGTGCATTAATATCAACATCCCCTTTGAGAGGTACTGGATTGCAAGCAGTTAAATAACTGAATTCCTCACCAGTGGACAGACATCTGTCAAGCAATTTACAAAATGGGAGAGGAACTTTTCAGGAAACAGCTCTCAGTTTGGAAGCATATGGTTAAATCTAGTGCAGCATGACTATCGTACAAATTATCAGATCAAAACACAAAACTGTGAGTCCCCTGGGGTGTGCTGTGACTGGTTTCCCCTTCACTGGCAAAAGAGTAGAGAAAGTCAGCTTACTGTCCAGGTGTGGTTCCTTGTCGAATTGTATCTCATTTCACAAGAAATCTTTTCAATTGTTGATTGACTAGTCCAGTGAATTGCTGTCTTGGGCACTGTAGTATTTAAATCCTCTGCTCTAAAAATGACGGTTGCAGAAGGTATCACTAGAAAAACAAAAATTGGAAATACTCAACCAAATAAAACTTACCTAGGAAGAGATGGAAATAGTTTGTCAATGTAAAGACAAAATATCTGTTAAGACAAAGGTACTAAAATAAATAAATTCATGGTCTAATTTATATTTTATATTTTTTCTGTTTTCTATTTGTTATGTTGGAGCAAACTGCCATTATGAAATATAATTCTCTTTAACCTACTCTCCATTTCTTTTCAATGAAATCATCTTATTTTGTCTTTCTTCCCTCCCCTTATAATCCCAACTAATGAAATTCAAGTTTCTGGACTTATTAATAATGTATCAAAGTGATAAAGAAGATTTTTCTTTTTTCCTATATCTGCTGGGGGAAATGTATTTTTTTTAATTTTTATTAGTGAGACACCATGAGGTACAGTTGTAGACTTAAAAATTTTTGTGCTTGAGTTTCAGTTATACAATGATCAAATACCCATCCCTCCACCAGTGCCCATTCTCCACCACCACGGATCCCAGTATCCCATCCACCCCCTAGCACCCCCCTCCCCCCCTGCCTCTGTGGCAGGGCATTTCCTTTTGTTCTCTCTCTCCTATTGGGTGTTGTGGTTTGCAAAAGAGACAATGGGTGGCAACCATGTTTGGTCTATAGTCTCCTTTCAGCATGCTTCTCCCATCCTGGGAGGATCCTCCCAACACCCTTTGTTTGGTGCTCTCTGCTCTATCTGAGCTCCCTTTTCCCCTAGCATGTGTGGCTGGCCTCCAAGCCATGGAGTAAAATTCCTGGTACTAAGCTTGGCCATTCTTGAGTGTTAGTCTCCTATTTTGTTACTTTATGTTCCCCAGATGAATGCAATCTTTCTATGTCTATCCCTTTCTTTATGAGTCAGGAAGTGTAATATTTTGTATCCTAAATTTAATTCAGTGAATTAAACTTGATTAGATGATAGATTGCTATCTTTTATGATAACATTTTATTGCTCTTATAGAGTAGATAAATATGTAAAATTTATTGCTCCTTTATTTTCTATAAAATAAATTAGCAATTGGAAGTATTTCAACAATGTGAATCTCACAAGCCTCTAGACTGTGATATCTGTGTTTTATGATGCAATGTTCAAAAGAGAAGTCAAGTTCTGATTGGTTAACTTACTAGTTTTTGTAGTATTATCATAATGGTGTAACTGAAATACCTGTATTTCTAAACTTTAATTTAATTTTTATTTAATTTAAACTTTTATTTAAACTATTAGTACTTGTAAGTTTGTTCCATCTGAGCAGAAAAGAATTGTTGCTACTTTTTCTCTCATATGCATTAGACAACAATGAAAACATATAATTTACTGAATTTTTAACAAAAAACTCAAGGGTCTAAAAAAACCTCAAGAACTAAAGATCTTTAAGGTTTATTATAATAATTTAGGGGACAGGGTACAATGTGTGGGGCACTTGCCTTACACGTTGCCAACCTGGGTTTGAACCCTGGTCCCACAAATGGTCCCCCAGCCCACCAGGAGTAATTCCTGAGTGCACAGCCAGGAATAATTCCTGGGCATGCTAGGCGTGGCCGTAAAATACCCCTGAAAATTTTAAATAAAGGTTCTTTTTTTGAAAAAAAAAACTCATTCATCATATATGCCATATTTTAAATTTTCATCTGTACCAAAAATAAACCGGATTGCAGTTGTCTTCTATCTTTCAGGCAAAGAAATGTATTAACCCCAAATTATTCAATGGGCAAAACTGGTGTTCAAAATGCCAACCAGAAGATACCACACTTTCTGCTCTGAGATTTATGTCTCTACAAGAGAAATGTAAGCATCCCTCCCACATATCATTTTGCCAGTGTTATTGCCTTATTAACTTGGCCCTTCTGCTCAGCACAGACTCCCTAACGTAATTAAACCTCAATCCTGTAGCTGTTAAGTGGAAATTGCTCCCAGGAGAGTCCTCTATCCTGTTTCATTCAACAGTTCATTTATCTAACTTGGAAAACCTCATTCTTAAGAGTGTCACAAATGAATAGAGCTTCTCCATGAATTGCCCAGTAGCTTGGTGGAGTGAAGCCTCCGATAGCTCCAACCTGTAGTTTTCAATCCAGGTTTGTGAGAGTGGGCCTGAGATGATGGGAAATCAGAGAGAAGAGAAGAGTGAGGAGGAAGAAGAAAAGGAGCTGTGGAAGGAGGAAAAGGAAAAATAAGGGGAGGAGAAGGAGGAAGGGGTATACCTGGGTCACCAACGTGGAGATGGTGGTCCAGTGACATTCTCTCCAAGTGGTAGGTTATGATTAACTGTGGCAAGTCAGCTACTCTTGGGTATAATCTGACTTCCCTCTTTATTAGGGTTGTAACTCGGAGCCAATGATTTGATCTCTTTCTTAGTCTACTCATTTATAAAGGCACGCATGATCATAGAATTATATATGACATGCATGCTAACTATAACACAATAGTTATGGAATCAATAGGTGTATGTATCAGGACTAGAACGAAAGCACCATGACGATGTACTACTCCTGATAATAATTTAGTTCCTAATAATGATACAGCCAAGATGTTACTAGGCAGGATAAACTTTAAACATCATTAATCCAATGAAGATTGTAAGAAAGACCTGTTGTCTGTTGTATGAAAAGACCACATTCGAGCATCTGAACACAAAACGTAAATTTGCATGAATGTATCAGCATTCCCAAGAAAACTCTAACTGTAAAAAATAGACAATATCAGAGTTACCAGCACCAGTTTTGCTTTTAAAATCAGTATTTGTATAAAGACACATTTCAGATCAGACCTATGAGTTAAAATCGTAGAAAGTTAAGTTGAGGTAGAAGATTATGTTGAAATATTTCACCCAACTGAAGAGCCCAATGACCCTCAAAGGATACTTATGTTGTACCCCAAGAGAAAACCTCACAACCCCCTAGATCATTACCAGCAGGAAAGTTGTCAGACACATTACAGTGTGCCTACATATTTTGCTTATTTATTCTTTTGTTTTAGAAACAAAACCAGTGGTGCTCAGGGGCCATTCTCAGTTTCATACTTGGGAGTTGCTTCTAGTAGTACTCAAGAAATCACGTGGTATTGGGTACTGAATCTGGACCTCCCACATGCAAAACATGTGCTCAACCCTTTGAGCTATCTCTTCAACCAGCCCCTGTAATGTGATTTTAAATGAATACTCAGTTTAGTAATTCTAAATATATTGGAATTATACATTCCCTAGCTCTGCCTTCAACCTTATTTCCTTATGTATAAATTACAGTCTCATGTACAAAATAGCATTGCTATGAGGGTTAAGTAAGGTAATGTATATAAAGAGGTACGCCCTGAAGAAAGCACTGGGTATGTTAACTTACTGAAGACATATGCCATAGTCTCTGAATGGAGTATACTTACATTTGGTGTTCTGTGGCTGAATTCTGACTTTAAGATTTGGATACAATTTTAAGAAGCTCAAAGAAATTTAATCTTTTTGGATTTAGCTTTAAAAATTGCTACTATACAAAAATTTAGCCAGAAGTTTGTTAATGGCAATATAGTTTATAATGGTAAAAATTGAGGAATGCAATGAATCTCCAATAATAAGCAACTAATGAAAGACACAATAACAATAGCACATTACTAATAAAAATTAATAGAAATGTGTATTCGATGTTTTAAGTTAAAAAAAAAGTAAGGCCTAAAATATGGGAAGCATAAAACACTAGCATTTGTTAAATCTGGTGAGTGAGCACTGAGTGGTCAACTTCATTCTCCAAAATCTTTTATCTGTTTTGTATAACTTTTCAAAATAAAATAAACATAAGATCCAAAACAGATTTAGTATACTATGATTCTTAAAGCATTAGATTCATCACACTTTATTATGATCCTTTTTTTTTTAACCCTCATCTTCTCTGATAGAGTATAAGAAATTTACAATAGCTAGTACCTTCTCTATTATTCTCCCCAGCCTTTAGACCAACACCTCAACGCAAGACTCTCCCAACAAATATTTGCAAAAACACAGACACCATGTGGAATTCAGACTGGAATACTATCCAGTGAAATGATAGCATTTATCTCAGAAAGGTCTCTGGGAAAGTTGTAGGCAATTTTTACTTTCTTGATCATGATCTACAGGAACCTTAGGGAACCTTTCAGATCTAGATTTGATTTAGCATGATGAGCTTCAATTAAGAATCTACATGTAGGGGCTGGAGCGATAGCACAGCGGGTAGGGTGTTTGCCTTGCACGCAGCTAAGATGGCCGATACAGGTTCGATTCCCAGCATCCCATATGGTCCCCCGAGCACCGCCAGGAGCAATTCCTGAGTGCATGAGCCAGGAGTAAGCCCTGAGCATCACCGGGTGTGACCCAAAAAGCAAAAAAAAAAAAAATCTACATGTAAAGGCATTCTAAGATCTTCTTACCTATATCATCCAGGTGAATTTGCAGTTGTTCTGACTCCTCCATGCCCAGGGCATTGGTAGCTTGGACCCAAATCAAATACTCCTTGCCACCTTGTAATGAGTCAGTGGAGATGTTAATATAACTTGAGGTATGATACTTCTGATACTTGTGATACTTGTGATACTGCTGCTCTTCTTCTGTCTCTAAGCTTGAAAAAATAAAAGATAATGATGAGCACAGAGATATATGGTTTGAATTATTACACAGAAACCTGTGATGCTATTTGATGCTCTGCATAGTTAATCAAAATTGATTTTATTTTGAGAAGTTAAAAAGGAAATTTAAGATGAGTCAGAGCCACCTGCTGACTTTCATGGGCTCTAAACACTTTAGCTTTATGGATGCCCTTCTTCCAATCAAAAAAAAAAGTGACATGTGTGCATGTATGTATGTGTTCTGTTTTGGATTGGTTTGGGGACTATACCCATTTATGCTCAGTGATCATTCCTGATGATTGGGGGACTATATGGGGTGCTAAGGATCAAGTCTAAGTCAGCTATATGCAAAGCAAGTGTATACTATCTGCCTACTGTACTTATCTTTCTAGATCCTGTGCTGGAGTGATAGCACATTGGTAGGGCGTTTGACCCGAGTTCGATTCCTCTGCCCCTCTGGGAGAGCCCGGCAAGCTACCAAGAGTATCTCGCCCACACGGCAGAGCCTGGCAAGCTACCCGTGACGTATTCAATATGCCAAATACAGTAACAAGTCTCATGATGGAGATGTTACTGGGCCCGCTCGAGCAAATTGATGAACAACGGGAGGACCGTGACCGTGCAATATTATTTTCTTATTTTATCCCTGTTTTGAGAACCAGAGCCACTAGGTTCTCCCCCTCTATTACATGCTTAGCATATTACTAATAGATGCCTCAGTTCATTAGACTGTGAAGTCTAACAATATAAATATAAAAAAGTAGAAGAGAAATTGCCTGGGATTTTGAGCAGTGTTGCAATGACAGTGTCCTACATCCTTAGGCTTAATGCACAGAAATGCCTCCCAAGATGTATCTCCAGCTGCTCTACACAGTCCAATAATGACACCATTAGAAATGACCTGACAGTAATGATACCATCAGCAACTCCCAGTCCTGAAGAGTTAACTTGATAGGATTTCTGGAGGAGAAAGTGCTCTCTGCATCTACTCTGCAACTCCCAAATGTTTTCCTCCCACAATTTCCCAACCAGACTGCTAGATCTGCTGGAATCTGTAGGGAAATGCTACAGAGACACAGAAGGCCAGGGGGAAAAAAGGAATCTGTCTTCTATTTCTGAGCAATAGAGAAATGCATTTATGGAAGCAACCCTGTCTATATTTGTAACCCCATCAATATATCGAAAGCAGCGCAAAGCAGGGCACCCTCATCAGCTGAGGATGAAGGGCTCTCTCCAAAGTGGGGGACTGGTTTGGCTAGGGGCTATGTGGAGTCTAGATGACGGCAGCCTTCTAAGGCTCAGCTGTGGTTCTGAGGTTTCAGCGTGTCTCTGCCCTCCCCAGCTTGCACATCTCACCATGACTGCCAGGAGAGTACAAGAGGGATCAAGCATGGGACTGCCAAGCACAGGGCTGGGTTCTCAAAGACAGACCTTGGTTCTATTCCTTGCTCTGATAAACAACCTTTTTGTGGTCGTCTTAAAAAAGATAAAACTGTGTATAGCCAATGGTTTCACACCTAATAAAGAGTTTATGAAACTATGATTGTTAGTAGTATTAGTATTATTAGTGGTTTGTTTGGGGGCTGCACCTGGCCGTGTTGGCTCTGTGCTCAGTTGTCCTGGTGAAGTTTAGTGTGCAGGAGAATGTGTCCTTCCTGTAAGGTATTACTATTAAAGGATTTAATTAATAGTTGTGTGTAAAAACACATGACTTCTGCACATCTTAAAGAATACAGGGTCCAGGAAGAGAGCTCAGAGAACTGGAGTATGTGTTTGCATGTAAGAAGCTCAGATTCAAAATCTGGTACCACATGATCTCCTGAGCACTGCGGAGAGTGATCCTGAAGTACCTTGCTAGAAGTAAACCCTGAGAACTGCCAGGTGTGACCACTCCCCCCCCAAACTAAATAAATAATACATTTTTAAAGAAACATTTCAATAAGTGAAATCTCTTGTATATCTTTTGACCAAAAGTCAAACCATGCAATTGAATGTAGGTCTTTAACAACCCACAAAGGAGGAGAAATTATTTACTCAGTATTCATCTGAAAATGGATTAATATCAAAGATATATAAGGAACTTTACAAGAACAAAAACATTCAACCCCTTTAAAAAAAAACTGGGGAGAAAAAAATGAACAGACATAACTTCAAATAAGAAATTCAAGTGGCCAAAAGGCACATGAAAAAATGTTTTTTATCATTAATAATCAGGGAAATACAAATCATAACAACAATGAGATATTATCTCATTCCACAAAGACTGGCACACATCAAAAAAATCAAGAAGAGCTAGTGCTGACATGGATGCAGGGATAAAGGGACTTTCATTCATTGCTGGTGGGAATCTTGACTGGGCCAGCATTTTTGGAAAACAATATGAACATTTCTAAAATATCTAGGAACTGAGGGCCCGGAACGATAGCACAGCGGGTAGGGTGTTTGCCTTGCACGCGACCGACCCGGGTTCGATCCCCGGCATCCCATATGGTCCCCCAAGCACCACCAGGAGTAATTCCTGAGTGCAGAGCCAGGAGTGACCCCTGAGCATTGCTGGGTGTGACCCAAAAAGCAAAAAAAAAAAATCTAGGAACTGAGATTCCCATTTGATCCAGCAACCCCATTTCTTGGAATATACCCTAGAGTCCCCAAGTCAAAATGGAGAAAAGACCTTTGTTCCCCTATGTTCCTTGCAGCACTATCTGCAATAACCAAAATCTGGAAACAACCCAGTTAAGAATAGATGACTGGATAACGAAACTATGGTTCACATACACAATGGAATATTACTTGGCCATAAGAAAAGACAAAATCATGAAATTTGCTGCTACATGTGGGGCCCTGAAGAGTATCACGCTGAAAAAAGTTAGTCAGGGAGAGACACCAACATAGAGTGAACGCTCTATGATGTATGACACAAAGTTACATGATGGTGGAATAACTAATATCCAGAGGCAATGGAAATGAAGAACACAAGAACTGGTATTCAGTAGGAAACATGCCACTTGAGAGGGCTGGGGGATAGGACAGGGAGGAGGCAACGTCTTATGGTGGAGGGAAGTGCTCAACCAGGAGGAGGAGGAGGTGGTGCTGAAAGGTGGTACAGTGTTAGGTACGAAACCCTATCGGCAACAGTGCTGTAAAGCACATCGCAAAAACATGTATTAATATATGTATACCTATATACATATGTTTGTATATATTTATATATACACATAAATATATAAACATATATAAAACATTTATATATAAAATATTTTTAAAAATATATATATATAAAACCCCTAGAAGCAGTCTGGTGGATGGGAGGCAAATGGGGCATGGGTGCAGGTGGGCATTGGTGGAGGGAAGTTGGCACTGGTGAAGGGATTGGTATTGAAACACCATACGCCTGAAACCAAATCATGAATGACTTTGTAATTTCACAGCGACCAAATAAAAATTAAAGGGCTAGAGTGATAGTACAGCAGATAGGGCATTTGCCTTGCACACAGTTGACCTGGGTTCAATCCCCAGCATCCCATACAACAGGAGTAATTCCTGAGTGCAGAGCCAGGAGTAATCCCTGAGCATGGCCAATCACGACCCCCTCTTTAAAAAAAAGCCCAAAGAATTAATAAATAAGTAAATTTGGGTTTTTATGCTGTTCCTTTATATTCTTTCTGAAATAAAGTGGATTATAAATGAACAGAAAACTTGCCATCAGACATGCTAAATTCATGATAAATAAGATTTCAAAGGTTCACGTTTGCAGAAATGGTAACTATTTGGATGTACTAAGTAGGGCAGCTTTGTCTATTTCCCATTCAGAGAAAACCACACGTGTTTTTCACTGGCTTGTGGCTAATTCTTATGCCACACATTTGAAATGTCAGTCAAAGTTAGAATGTATTTTCAAACAGCTCTTAATCATAGGAACTAGGTAGTTTAATTCTGCTTCTAAAGTCTACCATTACTTTAGCTCTTAGACCATCAGCCCTCAACCCCAGGCAGCCCCCAGGATATTGCGAAGGGATCACAGGTGAAAATTGCATAAATGGGGCCCATGCAAAGAGACTAACTAGGGGGCCAACAAGTAGGACAGAGGGGCCCAACAAGTAAACAGGGTCGGAAAGGGGTCATGGGTTGGAAAAAGATTTCCTGCCCTAGACCACAAAGCAATGTTTTAAATTAACCCAATAATAATAACTGTGTGTTTGTTCGGATGGGGAAGGGTACACCGAGTTGCACTCAGGGCTCACTCCTGGCTCTGTGTTCAGGTCAGGGGTCAATCCTGGCAGGGGTCAGGTGACTACCTGGGGTGCTGGAGATAGAACCTTGGTCAGCCGGCTGTCGGGCCCTACGGACTATTCTATCTCTGCACTCCCCACCCATGATGATTTCCATATTTACTAGAACTGTAAGGACTAGTTTTAAAAATTAGTTACACTTGAAGAACTTTCTGTTGAAGGACTATTTTGCATTTACTATTTTAAAATTTATTTCTCTTTTTAAAAGAAATTTTTGGGCCACACCCAGCAGTGCTCAGGATTTATCCCTGTCCTCAGGGATAACTCCTGGTAGTACCCTAGGGAACCTGTGTGGTGCTGGGAATCAAATCTGGGTTGGGTACATGCAAGACAAATGCCCTACCCACTGTACTATCTCTCTGGTCCTGATTTCTCTTTTTTTCATGTGCTGACAAATACAAAACAGATAATTTGTTGAAGAAATTCAGCATGACTAAAGTTTCTCTTAACTGTGGCCCACCCAACCTTTTCTGAGTTTTGATTAAATATTAATTATAATACATCTTTGTTCGAGCGGGCCCAGTAACATCTCCATTGGAGACCTTGTTGTTACTGTGTCTGGCATATCGAATACTCTCGGTAGCTTGCCGGGCTCTCCGAGAGGGGCGGAGGAATCGAACTCGGGTCGGCCATGTTGGCCGCTTGTAAGGCGAACGCCCTACTGCTGTGCTATCGTATAAATATAGATGGAAAGGAAAAAAGCT